CGAAACAGTTTGTCACAGCCCCTCGTTTGTTGTCCTCTTCTCTCTCTCTGCCTACGGTTTTACCGGGCAGTTCTGTTTGTGACGATATATAATGTTTACGCACGTCAGCGACTCATTGCCCTGTCAAGCTCACACTCATTTTTGCATGATGGGGGGATCTTCAGAGCTATTGAGTTATGGAGCTGCGGAGATATGGCGCTACGGAGAGAGACGGAGATATGCCCTTACACCCCCCCCTGGTATGCTGCCATCATTCTCCATCATGGGGGGTTACGGTATGCGCATGATCAGGGGAGCTATGGAGCCATGGAGACACGTGGCGGGCAGGGAGAGCAGGCAGACAGGGAGGAAATCGGGCGTGCATGGAGTTGACTATGCACATATATATCGTCACGAAAATGTCAGAGCGCAAAAGCGAAAAAAACAAGTATATATTATATAATATTATTACTATTTATTAGTATAGTCGGTGAAATTTCGACGAAACAGTTTGTCACAGCCCCTCGTTTTTTGTCCTCTTCTCCCTTCTCTCTTCTCCCTCTCTGCCTGCCGACGGTTTCCCGGTTTACCGGGGAGTTCTGTTTGACGATATATATTGTCACACTGTGAATCGGAGCGCAAAGGCAGAAAAGGACAATATAAAAAAAGGAAAGAAGGAAAGAAGGAAAGGCCCGCCTGTTCTTCACGTCTTACGTACAAGGCCAGCCACGTGCATGACAGGTTGAGCGCTGGCTGCCCCCATCCCCGTGTGTCATCACAAGGACCCACTTGCACGCAGCCAAAAGGCAAAGAGGTAAAGAAAAGGAGGAGGAAACCAGACCTTGCAGAGGCAAGAGAAAGAGAGAAAGGGATCCAGTCAAAGAAAGGACAAGGAAAAGGGAAGAGGAAGAAGGCCTATCAGTCAAACAAAGCAAATGACACATCCCACAGATAAAACCAATTGCCACTGTCACAACAAAGTTCAACATATATATTTTTTTCTTCTTGTTTTCTTTTTTCTTTTCTTCAGCAATTCATTCTTTTTTTTTTTTTTTTTTTTT